AAGAAGGCTCCTCAATTTTACTTGCTGGGTGGTGTTATTTTCTAAGTAGCTACTACATGTGGGACTTACGCTGGTGAATTTCCTAGATATGGAAAGCTTCTGCGTCTACGAAAGTGCTTTCCACCAACCACCCAACCACCACACCACATCTCGTGATTCTTTGAAAACCACACTTCTTAACTGATACACTCTGACGCTGCACTGCTGAGCTTTTAAAAGGAATATTTTATTTTCTCCCATGCAACAGGAAACACACACCACTTCTTCCGTTTTATGTACTGTGTGGAAGGGTGTCTGCGTCCTGTGTTTGCTCTGAGTCTGTCGCAAGGGCATTTACCTAAATCTGCGCTTTCTGACGCTTGCATCTAATTACAAACATGTACAGAATGTTCTCTCTAGGGCTTCCCATTTGTGCTCATTAATTATATCTCAGAAAAACAAGATTATTAATTATGTTTACAAAAATGCATCAGAACGAAAATAAGCCTTGGTATGTTGTCCTGAGGAGCCCAAGGACAAGGGGATGTGAATGTCCCTGGGCCCGGAGGCTCCGTGTGTGACCAGCTGAGCGACCGTGATTATCCACTGCATAGACCCAAGATGCTGACACACACATCACTGTTTTGAAGAGACGCCCTGACGATCAGATTTGTGGACAGAAATAACATATTTACAGCCACGTCCCATGGAAGAACTGAGCTGGCGTAGCGCTCAGATTGGTGCTGGCTCCGTGGAAAATACATACAGGAGCTGCCGCTACACATTCCAATGTCAACATCTTGCAGAGGAACATAATTTCCCCCAGGGATGCAAAAAGATCTTCATCTGTATATTTTAGTTGAGATCTGAATGGCCCAGCAGAAATCAATGAGGAAAGAGAGCAGAGAGCGACTTCGGCTCAAAACCACTAATTGCATTAGATGTCTCGCCGAGAGCACGTTTTCATTCTGTTCTCGCTCGGTCGCTCTCCGGCACAGCCAGTGAACGGGTCCTGGTCAAGGCCGCATTCTTCTCAGAAAGGATGTGCTGAGTGCCCTCCTGGAACCGTGTCTGCACAGACTGCTGGAAGGGCCGCATTGGCTGGGAAAATCAATTATATGCTAATCAATAGGCCAGGCATGTTTTGGCAGTGCCTGCAGCTCTGTGTTTTTAATTGGGCGAAGCGCATCCAAGAGCGTAGAAAACGCTAAGTACAATTTGGAAAACCACAGCAAAATAAGCACATCCAGCACTCAACTGAAAACGCCAAGTGTCATCAGAATCCTAGATGTCGCCCGCATTCCTCTGCTCGGCCCTGGCTGTGGGCCGGGGAGGGCCGACGGGAAGCCCCAGGCCACCGGCCGGGTCCTCCGCTGGCCCCAGGCCTCTCCGCTGGCTGCCACGGCCGCTTCTCTGGGTCCCCGAGGCGGTCCCAGTTGTGACCTTTTTACTTTAAAGTTCTCTCTCCCAGTAGTCACATTCTGAGGTCCTGGGGGTTAGGACAGTGACGCATGAATTGTGAGGGGACACAGATCACCCCTATAGCTTACTCTCACCGCTTCGGTTCCCTTACCCCTCGGGGGAATCACTACCCTAGATTTTCTGTTCACCATTATCCTGATTTCCTTTAAGCTTTATCGCCCCCGCCAACAACATGCCCAGTTTGGGGCCTTACAGCAATGCCCCATCTCTGACGTCCACGGTGACCCTGCTAGGTCCATAAACGTATCTGTATATAGCTAGCCCACTTATTTTCTTTGTTCTGTTGTATTCTTATTCTATTGCACGCACCACTTCTGGGTTCATTCTTTAGGCGGGCGGGGTGTGTGTGTGT